GTTTCTGAAAGATTCTGAAAATCCCTTTAATCTCTTAAAACCTAAAGGTCGACTCTTGTTTACAAGAATGAAGAAATCCTGCAGGTTTAGGTGACATGAGCATGTGGGAATAACATTAGAAGTATCCAGTGTTATCCAGGAAACATGGAGGATCCAAGAAATGTGGATTTCATTCTCAGTTCTAGACTCAAGTAGCTATCAAACTTGGAGAAGCTGCTCTACCTCAGGGGCCACAGTTATTTCATATCCTATAATTCTATGCCCCAGGCCACAGTGACCTTAGAATAAATCTAGATCTCAAAAATGGACATGCACAGTAGTTCCCTGGCTCCAATCCTCACCCACTAGTGCAGAATGTTAAATCTTTGAATTATTCCTAGGAATACCAAGAGGCAATCCACATGTGCTCATGAATCTACTGATTTTAGTTCCCTTTTATTTACACCTTCTGTCTTCTTCCCTATTTTTAGACTCTCTTTAGGGTTCTGTAGCTGAAGACTCCAAAACAAAATTTGAAAATCTTCCCCTTGACTTCAATGCTATAGTTCAGGGACTGGTTTGGACATTGGGTGACATCTTTGGACACCTCAGGGCACCAAAGTGGCTGTTGCTCCCTCTTTGGATTCCTGTCTACCATCTGGTCCCAAAGCAGTGCTGCCTTGAGCTCCCTATGCTTATAGAGAGAACAGTTGCACTGCTCTTTAGCAGTTTGTTTCCTATAACCTCCACATTCATAAGACAGCCGCTTCAAGTCTGGTAGGGTAAAGAGAAAAGAAAGGAAGGAAAGGAAAGAGAAAGCCTCTATTAACATATAGTTGTGAAACAACCTGAGCCAGCCACTTCTTCTTATGAACCTTCTTTTTATGGCGACCCACTCTGCTTAGGCTACTAATATGCCTTAAGGGGTTAAGAAAATTCCACTCAAAGAAATGACTGTGTAACTTACCCAGAGATCATCCAGTTTGAACATTTCCATAAAATCATACTGTGTAGTGTTCCATGACCAGGTCCAACTTTACTGTATTGGATATAAGGAGTCTAGGCAATGCACCAAATAAAATGATTCCCTGAAGTCTCCCCATTCAAGATTTAGTCCTTCAAATTTTGTGTATATTCCAGTCTTTGGTAAAAGTGCTAAGAATCCTGGGCCTCATCTGGAAATAATTCTTATCTGTTAGCTGGCTGTTGAAAAGACAACGCAGAAATGGGCTGTAGTTTGGAGCATCAGAAAGAAAAACAAGTAGAGGGCAAGAGTGTGTCATTTTTTTTTCTTATCCCTCTCATTATGCAACTTTTTTTTTTTTTTTCTGAGACGCAGTTTTTCTTTGTCACCCAGGCTGGGGTGGAGTGCAATGGTGCAATCTCAGCTCACTGCAACCTCTGTGTCCCGGGTTCAAGCGATTCTCCTGCCTCAGCTTCCTGAGTAGCTGGGATTACAAGCATGTGCCATCACGCTTGCCTAATTTTTTATCTTTTTGGTAGAGACAGCGTTTCACTGTGTTGGCCAGGATGGTCTTGAACTCCTGACCTCGTGATCCACACAAATTTGATAACACTTGACTTTTCCAAGTCACTGACAAAAATGTTGAACAAGGCAACACTTTTGCAAACACTCTGTGACATTCCACTGGAAACCTTAACCCAGATTGGCATAGCTCCATTAATTAACCATCAGTCGAGGTACTGCCTTGGCCTCCAAAGTGCTGGCATTACAGGCACGAACCACCGCACCCGGCATCATTATGTAACTTTTTAATTCATACTTTCTTCATCATTTTGATAATAATAATTGGGGCTGCTAGGGGTTGAATTACATCCCTCCAAAAGATATGTTGATGTCCTAACCTTCAGTACCTCAGAATGTGGCTGTATTTGGAACCTGGGCCATTTCAGATATAACTAGTTAATATGAAGTCATACTGTGGGGGTGGGGGGCCTTAACCCAATATGACTGATGTCCCTTTAAGAATACAGCCATGTGGAAACACAGAAACACGGGGAGTGTGTCAAGTGAAGACACAGGATTGGAGTGAGGCATCTAATGAGCCAAGAAATACCAAAGACTGCCAGAAAACCTCCAGAAGCCAGGAAGAGGCAGGAAGGATTTCCCTGCAGGTCTCAGGTCTCAGAGGGAGCATGGCTCTGCCAACACCTGGATTTCAGACTTCTATCCGCTAAACTATGGACAAAAATTTCTTTCTTTTCTTTTTTTTTTTTTAAAGCACCCACTTTGTGGTACAAGTACTTTGTCACAGCAGCCATAGGAAACTAATACAAGGGCCTATGATGTGTCATATCTCATTCCAGTAGCTTTGGATCAAGGCCAAATAAGATGTGGTCTCATTCCCAGGAAAATGCCAGAGAGGATTTTTCTTTCAACATGTGGTTAAGAGATCTGCAATGTTAGAAGGGCTTTTGAAACTTCAATATACATAACCCTAAGATAAATGAAAGAATTGGAGCTGAAAAAAGTGGATCTTTGGTAGAGTGATATAGGTGAGACATACCCTATCTTCTTCCTTTAGAAGTCTTGAGATGACAGCTTTGGAGATTGAAAAAAAATAGCTTGTGTTAATAATAAAAAGGAAGCAGCAATCACTAGAAGTCAGCATGAGTTCACCAAGAACTGGACCTGTCAAAGCCAGCTCATCAGCTTTGACAGGGAAGTCGGATTGGCAGAAGACAAAGGCAGTAAAGTGTGGTGAGATTTTATTGAGACACCTGATAAATTTCCTTATGATGTCTTTTGAACAGGATGGAGTGGTTGAGTTGGAAATTAGTAATCAGTTGTACCTCGCCTGATGGTTAATTAATGGAGCCATGCCAATCTGGGTTAAGGTTTCCAGTGGAATGTCACAGAGTGTTTGTAAAAGTGCTGCCTTGTTCAACATTTTTGTCAGTGACTTGGAAAAGTCAAGTGTTATCAAATTTGTGTCTGATGGACCAGATGACTCCACCTGTATTTGGATATGTGCACTTTGTTCTGGATGCCATATTTAGGAAAGGCAGAGGGAAGCAAGATGTTCTGAAGAAAGTGAGCAAGTTGGTGACCTGAAGGAAAGTGGCAACTAGGTAACACAAGAAATTGGTGAGCTATTTGGGAATATTCAGCCTAAACAGTAGAAATCCAAGAAAGACATGACAGCCAAAAGATAATGCACTTTACTTGGATTAAAGAGTGGTGACCAATGGTTCAAATGACAGGAAGGCAATCTCAGCTTGGCATACGAAGAACTTTCAGGATGTGAATTTTTCAAAGAAAAAATTCTAGCAGTGAAATTTGAAAGTTAGCAAATCTCTGTGCATTGATTTATAAATTTAGTAAAAATTCTAGCAGCATATTTTTAAGGAATTAAGTTATTCCAACTATAGGAGAATACAGACCCATAAAAGATAAATCAGTTTTGAAAAAGAAGAGCAAAACGGTTACTCTTGCCTAAACAATGATAAGATGTACCACAAAGCCGTACTGATAACCTGATGGACCTGGTGCAGCCATAGGTAAATAAGTCAATGGAACAGAAGAAAGAGGTTAGTGACAGACAGCACTCCAGTCAATTGCAAAATGAATGACTGTTCAGTGGGTGTTGTTGAGGAAACGCATGCGTGGATGATACAGGAAAAATAGACTTGGAAAATGTACACAACATACAAAGATGGATTAAAGAACTAAGTGAGAAAGATAAGCTCTAGGTCAAATGGAAGAAAATGTGAAAGTACATACCTACAATCTGGGGGCTGGCAGGACTTTAGTAAGACTTCCAAAGCACAAAGCATTGGGGGAAATGATGCAAGTGTTTATTTTAAAATTGAGGATTTTGAGTGATAACATAAAAGGTTATCAGATTTCTGACAGGTTGGGAAAAGTTATTTGCGAAGTCAATGCCGTAAGAGGTTAATATCTAGGCCCTATGAGGAATATCACAAGTAAATATTTAGGATATACAAGCAAACCCACAAGAAAAAGGTAGGAACCTATTTGGAAAACAGTCCTATCAAAATGGACCCATGAGACTTTATTTTCCTCATTTAGCCATTCAATAAATACTTATTGAGTGCCTATTGTATACCAACACTCTTCTAGGCCCTGGGGATACAGCAGACAAAATTCTCTGACCTCATGGAATTTAAACTCCAAAATGTTCTTTCCCACCAATAGGAAAAAGAAATTAGTTTCTACTAAGTGAATTTTCCCTTTAAATTACAATTACATAATTTTAAAGTCAGAAGGATCTTTAAGGTGCCTTTACTTTAAATTCATACTTTTGTATGGTGACAAATGGCAGCCCAGGGGCATAGAGGCTGACACCTCCCCAGCGTTTAGACTATAAGCTCAACTGTTAAGTGGATTCAGAATGCCAAAGGCTGAATCCGGCTTTTCTTCTACAACCTGTGTTGGCAACGTCTCTGAGCTTCAGTTTCTTCGTCAGTATAATGGCACCAATGATAAGACTTCACATAAAATTGGTATAAATGTTAAATAAGGTATTTTGAAACAGAACAGCATCTGACACATGGTAAAAACTCAGTGTTAGCTATTTTTATTTCTATACTTTGATTATGATATGATTCCACAATTATTTTCCTATATACCATATTTCAAAAATGGTAACCTCTCTGGGTTACCACTCAAGTAACTAATTTTTTAAAGTAATAATTTTAAAAAAGAAAGTTATATACTCTTTATGATAGTGTACCCTAAAGGTTTATGAAATGTGTCTCATGGATTAATCGTTTAACATCATGTGTGAAATCTTAACTCAGGATATTAGGGCTGGAATGGATGTGGTAGACAATCTTGCCAAGCCTGGCCCTTCTTCTACAAGGAGGTCTTCAGAGATCTGGAGGAGGAAAGTGCCTTGCCCTGAGTTCGCTGAGCCAGAACAATAGGACTTCCGTAGTTGTGAAACTTGTCAATTGTCTAAGTCTAGGTTAATGCCATCTGGCTGGCTTTTTAAAAAGAGTGTGAAGTAAGAACATGAATAATTGTCACTTAATTAGAGACCTAGACTCAGAGGAATTATAGTTACTCCATGTATGAAAAATTGCAAGACTGTTGACTCTGTCATTCTTTGGTTTAGTGGGTGGAGCCAGCTGTCCTCATTAGAATAAGGGTTGTTTATTCAACCCAAGTATAAATGGAAAAAAAAGATGTGCCCTCTGTCATTGAGGGTTGACTGACTGGAGAGCTCAAGTGCAGCAAAGAGAAGTGTCAGAGCATGAGTGCTAAGTCCAGAACCATTGGGATTATTGGAGCTCCTTTCTCAAAGGGACAGGTAAGGAAAAAAGTCTTTCTTTGAATTCCTGGAATTTAGTTGAAAATTTTGGACTTCGAAATTTGTAAGGTGTTATTGTCTAGTTAGTTCAGTTTTCTGATACAACCTATATTTTAAAGTCCTCTCACCATTTTCCAACATTGTATAATTATACTCACATACCCACTTACTCTTGTGGCTCCTGATCTCAGCTAGAGCTAAATTCATTTGAACCTACAGAATGTTTTCTCATATTTTTTAGGAGAAAATATTTTTCTTTGAATTGAAATGGACTATTTCTGCATTGTAGCTACTCATTTAGGTTTAGTTGCTCTTGTTTTTGATGTTACTGTGTGTATGTATAGGAAGAGAGAATTTTAAGAAATACATTTGTTTAGTTACGTAATTAATGCCTAGAAAAATTTAATAGTTTGGCAGTAACCTTCAGACTTCTTATGATTTGGATAACCGAAATATTATTGCTTCATGCAACTTTGTGAATAATTCATGTTATGTTAGGGTTTTAATGATTCTATGAAATTGTTCATTCATGGTCTAGGTAGAATCCTTTATGTGCCTCACATGGAAGGGGAAAAAAGAACAAAAAAAGAAAGAAAATCCTACTGCAGTTTGGCAACTCTAAAAGGATTTTAATGGATTTATGAAACTCCCAGACTTCCTTAGAGCCACCAGCTGTGAATCCACACATGCCAGCAACATCTGAACACACTTTTTTTTCTGCCTGGGCACACTTATTCTAGTAAAGAGAGTGTGATGACAGAACACCATAGACTTCAACACACATCTGTGCTTAAAAAGGATAAAAAACAAAGAACAAAATCAAACAAGACAATGTGTGAGTTGAAACTGCTAAGGTTGATTTTCTCCAGGTTTCTCAGAATCTGGGCAGCGTTTTGCTTCCTTTTAATTTGGAACCCTTGCTGTGTACTCTGACTTTTTACTGCAAAACAAATTGAGAGAGGCCAGAGGTTAGAGGCCCAAACAGCATTTGAACTGTCAGTAAATACTACTTTGCTTCTCCTGGAAATCCTCCAAAAGTCTCTCCCAAACACAGGGACATTTTGCTGACACAGAAGTGCTCCTTTTAAAATCCACACTGTTCTCACCTACTCTTGAACAGGTTATAATAAATATATAATTTTAAAAATTGACAAAAGGGAAGCAAGTCTCCTCCTTCTACCACCCTTCTCCCGTTAAAACATGGTCATGAGAATGGAGTTCATTGTCTCATGATTGTAAGGACTAAGAAAGAGAGATTTTTTTAATACTAAGTCACAGAGTAGAGAGGATAAAATAGCCAAGATGTAAGTATTTGTCCTCACCTAAAGGAGTTACAGGTTTGACAGGTAGGCAAAAGGAAATGATTAGAGAGCAGATGACTAAAATGTGGAGTCTGAGAAAGGGCTTCATCCCTGTCTCACCTTGTTGAAAGGCTTGCAAGGCAGTGAACAAAAAATAAAGTAGGTATTATTTTTACCTTACAGTTGGATTAAAAAAGGCTCAGAGAGGTTTGGTAATGTGCTCAACGTCACACAGGCTTGACTGCATAATTCCAGACAAGATAATCTGATTCCAATGCCTATGCCCTTGATTTGCACTGATGTCTCTTCAGACTATTCAACTCCAAAGGTGACTTTATACTTGTGGCCATTGAGGGATTGGGCCCAGCTTAGAAAGTCAGTGGAGCTGACAAAGCAATTTCCAAAGTGGGCAGATAGAGCAAGCAAGAGGAAAGCCCAATCATGAGAAGCCATTTGAATAAAACAAATAAAAATGAATGCTAGAAAATGTAATGGCTGTATTATAGCAAATATAGTGTCAACTAAGTGGTCTATGAGCTTTGTTCTAAAGTCTGAAAGGAAGAAGGGTAAAAAAGCCAATGAGTTTTATCAAACTGAGGATTGAGTATCACTATATGTCAGCTCTACACTACAAAATATAGGCCCCAAATGTAAAGCAAACTGGACTGAAATCTAACAATGAGGAAAAGACAAAAACAGTCACAAAACTAAAGGCAAAACATGAACCAAGCAGCACCCTATTGGGGTTGAAAGAAGGAGAAATTGTGTCTACCTGACTGGGGAGAGGGAGGCGTGTCAAACAAAAAGGTAGTAAAGAAGCAAAATGTGTCAGGCAGAGGATAGGGTGGGTGCCTTGCTGCTAGGGACAGGAATTTAACAGAAAGGATTTGCCTGGCACCCAGGGCAAGTCTTCTGTTCCTTTGAACGGGGAAGAAATATTTGCTTGCTTTGATGCCACAGCCCCAATCTGAAAGATAGACACACGTGTCTTTTAACACATTGTCTCATCTGACAACATGTAATCATTTTCTGATCTAAAAGCTCGTCGAAAATTAAAATCAGAAAGATTCAGAAAAGAACTGTGCCTTTAGACCTCTAATTGTTCAGGGGGCTGAGGAAGACTTGCCCCTTGGAGGAAGAGTGTTAGCTTCCCTAATGTCAAAAGGGCAAGGGTAGAACTTCCCATCTGCTGTTTAAGCAGGCCAAAACTTGAAATTAGTGGGTTGGTCTTTGTTTGTAGTTTTCAGCTCCCAGGTGATGACTTTTTCCGTTGTCTGCTTTCTCCAGAAAGCAGAGCTCTAGCTTACTGCTGTGAGTACATGCACGTAGGCCTCTTTCATGTCACACTCTTTCGATACTTTTGCCCAATTGTTCCCTTGGTTTGCAGAGTTTCTCCATCACTCTGTCTTGTTTTCCTAACTACCTACTCATGTCGCAAGACTCAGCTTAAACAGTATTTATTTCTTGCAGCCTTTACTGACATATCCTGTCCCCAATAGTATTAAGGGCATCCTGTTTTTGTTACTACATTTTATGTCGTCATTAAAGCAGCTATGTATTGTAATTGGGGTTAAGTGCCCATATCTCCTATCAGCTTATGAGGGATTCAAAGTCAAAAGCTTTTTCATTATTGGATCTCATCTACCAGACTGCTTTTGCTCACTATGTTGATAACATGGGTTGACAGGAAGAGAGGACGGAGGTTTTGGAATCCAAAGACCTGAATATGAACACAGGCTCTGCCACTTATTAGCTGTGTGCCAGTCTGAAAACCATATAACCTTTGTGATTCTAGTTCTTTCTATTTGGCATAAGAGTCATTCAGTCTACCTTGCTGTGAAGATTAAAAGAGATGATGTAAATTCCTGGCTCTGTAGGAACTCAAAAAATGATAGTTACAGTTCAACTGATTAAATAATGAAAAGGGTTCGTGCTGTGAGCATCTGATGGTCATGATAATGTCTGAAGTACTTTATTTTTTAATTGCTCAGCCACGAGGAGGGGTGGAAGAAGGCCCTACAGTATTGAGAAAGGCTGGTCTGCTTGAGAAACTTGAAGAACAAGGTAATTTTTAAATTGAAAAATGATCAGCCTGATTTCCTCCCCACTCTGAAGGAAGGAGCAGGCCCCTGTCAACCTGGAGTGTGTCTGGAATATTTACACCAGAATTGTGGTACTGGCTTTAACCTGAGAAATACGTCCTACAAAAACAGCAGGGCATGGGGAGAATGCTCAGGAATTGCTGATGTACATCCTCACTCAGATATTTTGTCTTTCCAGCCAAACTACAGTATAAGAGAAATTGCATGTGCAGGAACGGGGGTTGGGGTGGATGGTAGGGGAGCCGGGGAAACAGCAAATGGAAAGCAAGGTGCAGCAGGAAGTATGCTACTAGCAACAGGACCCCATTTGTGAAATAAAATAAAATAAAACAGTAATAATGATAATAACAATAGTGCCTAGTGTTTGCGCAGTGTGTATATATATACATATGCATAAGCATGCAAATGTAAATTTACATATATTTTTAAAGTATGGGCTCAATAATCTGTTATCTTTACATATAAGATGCTGATAAAGTGTTGGTCAGGATGTGGAGCAACTAGAACCCTCATATATTTCTGATGGGAATGCAAATAATACAGCCACTTTGAAAGTAGGTGGGCAGTTTCTTAGGTAAACATATATTTACATTTTAACCTAGCAGTTCTACTTCTGGGTGCAGAGAAGTGCAACTACAAACATTCAAGTACAAGTTTTCACTTCTCTTGGGTAAGAGATTTGTACTTGAATGTTTGGGGGCAGCAACATTTATAATAAACAAAAAATGGAAACAGCAAAATGCCCATCAACTGGTAGATGGTTAAACAAAAAGCGTCACATCCATGCAATGAGATAGTACTCAACAATAAAAAGGAATGGACTGGCTGGGCTCGGTGGCTCAGGCCTGTAATCCTACCACTTTGGGAAGCCAAGGTGGGCGGACTGTCTGAGCTTAGGAGTTCGAGACCTGGGCAACACGGTGAAACTCCATCTCTACAAAAAATTAGCCAGGCGTGGTGGCATGCACCTGTAGTCCCTGTAGTCCCAGCTACTCAGGAGGCTGAGGCAAGAGAACTGCTTGAACCTGGGAGGCGGAGGTTGCAGTGAGCCAAGATTGCACCACTGCACTCCAGCATGGGTGACGGAGCGAGACTCCATCTCCAGAAAAAAAATAAAAAGGAATGGACTGCAGACACAGGCAAGAACATGGTGCATCTGAAAAACAGCAGGCTAAGACACAAAAGACTACACATTGTATGATTCCATTGATACGACATTCTGGAAAGACAAAAGCATAGCAAAAGAAAGCAGATCAGCAGTTCTTGGGGTCGGGGCAAGAATTACCTCTAAAGGGGCAGGATGGAATTCAAGGGAGAATGGAAATGTTTTAAATCTTGATTGTGGTGGTGGTTTCAAGACTAGATTTTTTCAAACTCATTGACCTGCACACTTAAAATCAGTGAGTTTTAGTGAACAAGAATTACACCTCGTAAATCTTAAAAAAAAAAAAAAAAAAAGACAAATACAGACACCCAGCTGAGAACAGAATGCTTGGGTAAATGGACTTGTCCCTTAACTGACAAGCATAATTTGGTCATGTGTTACAGCAGGTGAAATTTCTTGGAGGCATTACTAAATCAGATTCAGACACGCATGTAACAAATACCATATTTAATGGCCAGTTAGTTCAGAACCCTGAACTGATTCCACATCACAGTTTTACATGAAACTCTCTACTTTTCAAGCCTAATTCAAGGCCTCTTAGGGAGCACACTCAGTCCTTAGGAATCTGGGGTTACCTGCAATTTTTCCTTACTAAAAAGAATAACTAAAAAGCTTTATTTCCTAAGCTTCCAAAGTGTTAGGTTCAGTGCTAAGCACATATTCACATATTCTTATTTATTTATGATAATACCACTATGAGGCAGGTTCAATGGATATTGTGTGTGTGTGTGTGTGTATCCAGATGAAAATATACCAGTGCTTTCTAAATTTTCTGAGAATACATATAATATATATATCGATATATATATTTAATTTTTATCAAAATCAAGCATGCTTATTATAGAAAGGTAAAAAGTACATAAGCAGAGAGAGACAGAGACAGAGACAGTGACATTGCCTATTAAGCCCAAGCCAGAAGACTATCACTGTTATATTTTGGTGTCTAGTCTAACTGGATGGATTCAAGAAGTGTTTACTGAGAGCCTGGTATACAGCTGCACCAGTGTGTGGTACTGGTAACATGTCAAGCAAAAGCAGACATGGGTCTACCTTCCTGGGATTTACAGACCTTTCAGGGTTTTCGTTTGCTTATACTTGTGAATACATGCCTATTTTATATAATTGGGATCATCCTACATAGACTGATTTGTAATCTACTTTTTAATTTAGTAACTAAAAACTTTTAATTTTAGAGTGTGATGTGAAGGATTATGGGGACCTGTCCTTTGCTGACATCCCTAATGACAGTCCCTTTCGAATTGTGAAGAATCCAAGGTCTGTGGGAAAAGCGACTGAACAGCTGGCTGGCAAGGTGGCAGAAGTCAAGAAGAGTGGAAGAATCAGCCTGGTGCTGGGTGGAGACCACAGGTCTTGTTGAATAACTGTGTCTATGGGAGTCTGGCACAAAGGAAATGTAACCAAGACCAGAAGAAGAGAGAAAATATAGAAATATAGATGGAAAAGCATTGACCTATATTTAATATCAAATTTTCTGCCTTTAAAAAATTTTATAGGTTACTAACTTTATTACAGAAACAGACTTAGCTCAATTTGAAGTCTTACAGTATCTGTATTTTGACCTAGTACAGCCGAAAATGTATGAAATATGAATGGATTTCATCTAAATATTCATCACAAGCTTACATTTCTAAATAAGTACGAGGCAATTCATAGCTTATTTGTTCTTAATTGCCGATAATATATACAACTCGTATAGGTCAACAATTTCAAAATATGTGTTTTTCATTATAAAATAATGATTATAACATTTTTGAAAGCATCAGACACACACACAAGAAAAAAAAGTGATAATCATACTTCTCTAACAACCATTTCAACCAGAATTGAAAATCTGGCACATTTCTTTCATGGCATCTTTTTTTTCCTTGTACATGATGACTTTGTTTAACAAGTGTGTGTGTGTGTGTGTGTGTGTGTGTGAAAGAGAGAGAGAGAGAGACAGATGTCTATGTTGTGTTCTAACTCTACAGAGCAAATTTCCTTGTTGCTTCATGGGATGTGCATAAGTATCATAAGCATCAGTTTTTTAGTTGCTGCATGATTTTTCATCAAGGGGTTACATTGGTATATATATACATATTGTCACATATTCAGGTTACATTGTAATTTTCACCATTACAAATAATGTGACAAAGACCATTTTTGTGCATGAGCCTTTTTAAATATTTACTCTCAAGGCCTAGGATAATTTTCCCGGAGAGGCCTGATTAGATCTAAAACCAGAAACACTTCTATGGCTCTTGAGCTCAGTGACTTCAGGACTCCTCGGCTTCCTCTTCTAAAGCCAAACTGTTACCAGGGCCTCTGTATTAAAACTGCAATTGGGAAACCGAGGCTCGTTTTCTTTTGTAAGTGGAGAAATTTGTAAATGGAAATCTGAAGAATGGCACATGGCAAAAGACAAGAAACCTGAAGGGAAAACAAACATTACATTGAATAATCCATACCTGAACATGAAGGCATGATTGCTTTCACTTCAAGAATCTAAAAGCTAATGATTCTCTGAGTGATACTTAAACATTCACAAATGGGAGAATACAGGCATTGTATAGTATTAGCTTGGTGCAAAAGTAATTGCAGTTTTCAAATGGCAAAACCACAATACTTTTGCACCAACTTAATATATCCTAACTTTTAACTTCTGTGCAAGATATCATTTATGTCTTCCATTCCAGCAAAATGTCTGGAGCTTGAAGTATTTGGGATGAACTTTGTTCCTGGTTGAGTGGGTAACTAGATGCATTGAATAGAATGAGTGAACACACACGCCATACGCTGGCTGAGGAACTTCTGAGTAAGAACATGTAAGAACTTCTGAGTGATGCTCCCAAATTATAAAAGAGCTGGATTTTAAGAAAAATTGAAGGACTTTGTCATAGTTCACTTGAGAGAATTAAGTATTTCCCAAGAGAGATCAGTGTGCAGAAAATGATCCAAATTTAACTCTGAGAATTGAACAGTGTCTCATGCTAAGGAATTTCTTGTGTAGCTAGTGTTTTTATACTCATTTATTTTTTGGCTAAGCTCTAATCTGTGGTTTTCTTACAAGGTGGATTTTTTTAGTAATGCAATCGATGTAAATATAACTAGTTAGTAAGCACTAAGTGTAAGTGATGTTTTCTCTATTGTTACAACTGATTGGCATCTCCAATTTAGAACCTATCAGAAATATCAGACACTGTGACTTAAAGGAAAACCAAGCGGGAGCATTGAGTGAGTGAATAATATGATGTATGTAGTGGCACTGCAAACCTGATGTTCACACAAAATTTTTCCCCCAAAAGTTTGGCAATTGGAAGCATCTCTGGCCATGCCAGCGTCCACCCTGATCTCGGAGTCATCTGGGTGGATGCTCACACTGATATCAACACTCCACTGACAACCACAAGTGGAAACTTGCATGGACAACCTGTATCTTTCCTCCTGAAGGAACTAAAAGGAAAGGTAAAAGACTGGTTGGTACTCTAGTGCAAAAGAATACTTTTTAGGAGACATTCAGGAGGTGGAAGGGAAATGAGAAACTCCATGTTATCTTATTCTTGGTGTAATCTCAAGTCATTTTCTCTGCAGCCAGTAAGCAAAGGGTTGGTTGATAAAAGGCAGTGAGGCTCGCTCTCTCTGCCTTGCAAACTGACTTAATATATATTTTCTCTGATGATTCTTAAACTATCCTTTTAGTAAGTGGGGCAGAGAGTAATCATTTATAAACAGGTCACTGGAGGTTCAGAGGTTAACAAACTTGCCCAAGATATATGCCAAGCCTATAGTGAAGCAAGGGCTAGCACCAGGTCTCCTCATTCCTTCCTCTTTCCACTACATGCCACACAGTCCTGCATTCTTACCGAGTAGTCTTTCTATATCATAGAGTCTTTTCAAAAAAGAAATTTGAAAATTTCAGATACAATGGTTTATGAACTAATGTATTTACTGGGAGAAGAACCTGTCTAAATCATAAGAGAAAGAACAATCTCCCTGCTCCCTAGAAACTTCTTTTCTAAAAGATGGAAAATAAAATGTCAGATTAAGATTTAATATTATAGCTTATAACTTTTGTTGATATGCCATAGTGTATCAATAAAGTTTTTATTGATATAATTATAGTATTTTATCCTTATGATGATATAAGAGGTTAAAACCTCCTTATGTTAAATGCTCAGAAATAATGTCTTTTGAACTAATGACCAAGGGATGGGTTTATAAACTTGCAAAGTATCTACCTAGCACATGGGAAAAACTAAACGTGGCTCCAGGACAAGGCAGATATCATCATATTATGATGTGAATAACCAAAGGACAGGTCACGAATTTCCCTCAGCTGCTCTAGGCCATCCTCTGGATTAAGGACTTATTGAGAAAGGGAAGTAAAGAAGGAAGCTACCAAAGTAATGGGAGCACACTCATTTCTTTATAGAGGAGCCCTGGGAAAGAAGGGCCCAGCAGGAATGGGGCACAAAGTAGGTAAATGCCAAGTGGTTCAAGGCAAAGTCAAAGCAATCAAGGGGAGGCACACATCCCCTTCTTAATTGTGTATAATTTTTACATGATTTCTTTTATATTTATATTCTAAATATAAGATATTTGCAGTCCAATAAGTGTCTTTACCTTTGAATGTAGGATTTGTTCAAGAGAATCACACATAACCAAGAGAAAACATTGCAATTTTAGATTCCCGATGTGCCAGGATTCTCCTGGGTGACGCCCTGCATATCTGCCAAGGATATTGTGTATATTGGCTTGAGAGACGTGGACCCTGGGGAACAGTAAGCTTATTCCTTGATGTGATTTGCTTTTTGTCCCTTTGTGTGCTAGATGTGCTTTACTGACCAAATCTATGAGAGAAAATTAAACATCAAGACACATACACACACATACACCCACACACACATATTTATATACATGCACATACATATGTATCCAGGCAATTAAATCTCAATTGACTTGCTGTTAAAATACAAATAAAACTATATTGAGTTAGGTTCACAGAACCTAAATATTTTATATATTTTACTATATTGATATTTCCCTTAAAAGGAGACAGGCAGGCACAGTCAGCCTTATTAATTATCTTAATTTCTCTTTTATAGCTACATTTTGAAAACTCTAGGCATTAAATACTTTTCAATGACGGAAGTGGACAGACTGGGAATTGGCAAGGTGATGGAAGAAACACTCAGCTATCTACTAGGAAGGTAGGATTCTTTTGTGTGTGCACACGTGTGTGTAACATAAAAAGTTGGTACTGACATTAACCAATGTAAGTTATTAATAAAGTCTTTATGTGAAATAATGGGTTGCTACTTTTTATAAAGCAAGGCAACAGATATATTTATTGATGAAATGTGAAGCCATCAATCTTAAACTGAAATCCTTTCCCATTTTTTAAAAGAAAGAAAAGGCCAATTCATCTGAGTTTTGATGTTGATGGACTGGACCCATCTTTCACACCAGCTACTGGCACACCAGTCGTGGGAGGTCTGTCATACAGAGAAGGTCTCTACATCACGGAAGAAATATACAAAACAGGTAGTTAACAATCTGAGGGAATAGAGAAGCAAGTGTACACTTGACTAATATATATTCATACCTCCTTGACCTGAAAACAAGTCCCAGTTGACACTTACAGAATGTCCATCAATCACATGATGCAATAACTAAAGTGTTTTCCATTGGTTACTACCTTTTTCTGTTAGTGGATAATCTTTCAAGTCTGTCTGTACTAATTTCAAAATGTCAACTATTTTATAAATTACATTATTACAATTTGTTGTTGTAGGGCTACTCTCGGGATTAGATATAATGGAAGTGAACCCATCCCTGGGGAAGACACCAGAAGAAGTAACTCGAACAGTGAACACAGCAGTAGCAATAATCTTGGCTTGCTTTGGAGTTGCTCGGGAGGGTAATCACAAGCCTATTGACTACCTTAACCCACCTAAGTAAATGTGGGAAACATCCGATACAAATCTCATAGCTAATGGCATAATTAGAAATCTAATCATTTACTTAAGCATAGAGTTGTCTTCCTAAAGATTTGTTCTTTCAGAAAAATGTTTTTCCAATTAGTATAAAACTCTACAAATTCCCTCTTGGTGTAAAATTCAAGATGTGGAAATTCTAACTTTCTCAAAATTTAAAAGCTTGTATTTTCTAACTTGGCAAAAGACTTATCCTTAGAAAGAGAAGCATACATTGATTTCCAATTAAAAATTTGCTGGCATTAAAAATAAGCACATTTACATAAGACCCCATACATAGAGTGAGACTCCTGGAACCAGGAGACAAAGCTACCCCATCTGGAAAGGTACTATGTGTCCATGTCGTTCAAAAGATGTGATTTTTTTTATAATAAACTCTTTAAAACAAGACTGTATTGTGTCTACATATTTCTAAATACATGCCACACACACACACAACCCCCACATTCACAATATGTCCTGCTTAAAAACTACAAAGATTGTATTGTGTCTACATATTTCTAGATACATGCAACAGATATACACACACACACCCCACATTCACAATATGTCCTGCTTAAAAATCCTAAGCAGGACGTATTTAAGAATTGTAGGCTCATGCCCATAATCCCACTGCTTTGGGAGGCCAAGATGGGAGGATCTCTTGAGGCCAGGAACTTGAGACCAGCCTGGGCAACACAGCAAGACCCTGTCTCTAAAAAATAAAATAAAATAAAATAATAAAACTATTAGCTGGGTGTGGTGGCACATGCCTGTAGTCCCAGTTACTCTGGAGGCTGAGGCAGGAGGATCACTTGATTTCAGGAGTTCAAAGCTGCAATGAGCTATGATTGTGCCACTGTATTCCAGCTTTGGTAACAGGTGAGACACTGTCTCTTAAAAACAAAAAAATTTAAAAAACAAAACATTTTAAAAGTCACAGTGAAATCATCATCCCCAAAACACTGTGAGGCCTTGAAGCTATTTAAACTCCCTGGCTATGGTTTCTTCAACTGTAAAATGGGTAATAATAGGTTTGGGCAATCTCCAAGTTCATTGGGCTAGATGTCCACATTTTACTTTTTCTAAACCTCATACATGATTCTGGTTAGTATTTTCAAAGCATGGTTGCTATTCAAGTAGCCTTTTGGGAGATGGAAGATATTCCTGGGTGGGTGTGGTGGCTCGCACCTGTAATCCCAGCACTTTGAGAGGACAAGGAGCTTGAGTCCAGGAGTTTGTGACCAGTCTGGCAACATGGTGAAACCCCATTTCTACAAAAAATACACACACACACACACACACACACTAGCTGGGCATGGTGGTGAACATCTGTAGTCCCAGCTACTCAGGAGGCTAAGGTGGAAGGACTGCTTGAGCCCAGGAGACGGAAATTGCAGTGAGCTCAGATTACGCCAATGCACTCCAGCCTGGGCAAGAGAATGAGACCCTGAAAAAAAAAAAAAAGATATTCCCCAAAATCGATTCAGGACCCACATAAATCAAATTGCTAGTTTGTTTTTAATAATTACTAATTCAGCTGAGGATGTCATCTAAAATTACCTGTCGCTTCCAATGTTTCACCTTTCACTCACTACAATTACAGTTTAGCCATATCCTAAAAACTCATCTCGGCTCTGGAATGTAGTAAGGAAAATGGAAAAAACAAACCAGAGTAAACAGTAATCAAAACAAGGGAAGCAAAGTTTTTCTCCTCCCAGCAATTAATGTGAAAACCCCAGGGGGTTCTGTAAAAAAGGCAGGTCCATGAATGGATTTCTTCTGTGTTTTTGGTTTAACAGCTATATGATAAAGGGCCCCTACAATCTGATTTTTCAAATGTAACACAGAGTTTAAAAACTGTTACCTCTAACCACTAGGCCTTCGAAAGATACACATTTTATTGAATTACTTTAAATGGTAGCAATTATAATGGATCTCACAAGATACATTGTCTAATACATTAACCACATGTGGTCATTTAAAGCTTAATAAAATTGAAAAATTCAGTTCCACATTTCAAATGCCTCACAGATAAATGTAGCTACTAACTAGTGTATTGAATAGCACAGGTAAAGAACATTTCCATCACTGCCGAAAGTCATACTGGACAGAGCCACTCTAAACTTACTATTAATTTTCAAAAAGAAAAACTTTTAGGATGTGATAAATACAAAGACATTTTTCCCCCTCTGCTGTATTCTAAACCCAAATAAAGTTTTTGTCTTCCATTAGTCTCTGATTAAAAACGTACTTAAAAGCCTATCCAGGGAAATTACATTCCCATGTTTTTAAGCTAGAGAGGGAAAACTGAATTTTTAATAAATTAATTAGAATGTTCATGTCCTTGAGAAAGTGATTATATTGATTTTCATTTCCTCTGTTTGTATAATACTAGAGTCATAATTTTATTCTCATTCTAGGATCAAAAAGCAACAAATTCCTCAAGGCAGCAAGAATATACTGACACTATGTTAAGATTAATACTTGAAATAATTTCTAGCATTTTTTCTGGGTAATTTTAAGAATGAGTCTAAAGGGGCCGGGCGTGATGGCTCACGCGCAATCCCAGCACCTTAGGAGGCCGAGGCGGGCAGATCACGAGGTCTGAAGATGGAGACCATCCTGTCTAACACGGTGAAATCCTGTCGCTTCTAAAAGTACAAAAAAAAATTAGCTGGGCATGGTGGCGGATGCCTATAGTCCCAGCTACTCAAGAGGCTGAGGCAGGAGAATGGCATGAACCAGGGAGGCAGAGCTTGCAGTGAGCCGAGATCATGCCACTGTACTCCAGCCTGAGCGACAGAGCGAGACTCTGTCTCAAAAAACAAAAAACAAACAAACAAACAAAAAGAATGAGTCTGAGTCTGCAAAAATTACTTTTACCATTACATAAATTTTTAGCTGGACTTGCATGGCCAGTAATGATTTAGTGATGGCAATAACATGAGCTACAAAGAAAATAAAGTTCTAGGAGGAACATATTTAGAAATATGAATTTGAAATACAGTTAAATTCACTAGTTCTTTCAAAAAGAATCTGTAACTCTTAATTCCTAGGCCAATGTCAGTCACCAACTGTAGTGTAGGACCCACAGAATACCACATTTCCAACTGACCCCAGCCAGCACACGGCCTGGCACACAGCCGACGTTCATTCCAAAGGAGTCATGAAACAATCACGTGGTATATTCATTCAGCAGACTTTACTTATTAGTTTTCAAGTCTTTCACAATGCCAATTCCCCCAAAATTAACAATGTCTCTCAAAATCCAAGAAATTCTGAAGAAATAAAATGTGTACTGTATTTACAAATACAAAATTAAAAAATTTTAAGATTATAAAAATTGAAGAATTACATCATCTGTCAGGTGAGAGTGTCAATCTGCAAAAGCAATTATTTTTTAAAAAAGAAACTGGAGAATCAATCAAGTTCAAGAACTTTCAGATGTTATTTTCTTACATGGCTTCCAACTCATTTTATACAGTTAAGTTCGAATCCATAGCAAAGGTAATAAAACTACCAACTGACCTTGATAGAAACTATGGAAATTTATAACAAAATTTCAAGTCATTTTAAAAAGAATATGAAGCCTTGTTTGCTCCTACAACGCAACAAAGTCTAGATTCTTTTTCTTGATAAAAATCTTATTATTCTGAAAATCTACCAAGAGATTTATGCATAAAATATTTGTAATAACTGTTTTACATGTGTGGTGCCTTTAAAATAATATATCTGAAGACTAAATATGTCATTAATAATAAAAAATACAAACAAAAACAACGGCTAGAATAGGAAAGACTGAAAGTGCCAATGACAAATTCCTTTGATCACAGATAACCTCTATGTTCCTATGTAGCTCTAATAAGTTGTTATGAATATGAACAACACGTATCTTACTTGATCTCTTAGAGACAAAAATATAGATAGGGAGATGGGAGTTGTAAGGTGTCCACAGATTCATCATTTGAATCAAAATAAAACAATCTGAACATCATCACTGCTTCTATCACCATAGCGTGATCACATTCAGATTGAAAGGTTTGAGTCCATTCTCAAAGATGGATGTATTTCCACTTTCTCCACAGTACAGTCTGGCTTCACTGAGTTACCGGTAAAGACACGGGCACCTGATTAGACTGAGGTGCTGGAGACCCACTGTTCATAGCTTGTGGAGGCACTGCAGCTGGTTCCATCTTGCTAATGTGTGTGATGAATCGAAGACGAAGTTTTAAAGCTGGTTTTAAGTTACAGATAATTTTCTCTACCTAAGAAATAAAAACACATTAAAATGTACTTTAATCAGAGAATTTCAACTTCTCACATTTAAAGCAGGATTTACACATATCCTGAGACAATAAACTAAGGAGTGGCGTGGGGTAGATGAGAAGTTTCTCAACATGTTCTGTGTTTTACGAAAAGCAGATACAATTCTTTCTTGCATGAGAAACAACACATTCTCCCTCTCACACACCCATTATATATTCTATATGCATGTTTGTACATTAACCATATGTATATTTATATATAGGCATATACTTACAAAAGCATATCCACTTATCTAGCTAGCCAGTCATCCCACTACCAAAAGCTAGCAGAGTTTACACTGGAAATTTCATACATCCAACAAGCTGATCATTCTTTTTAAATGCCATCTTTACAGAAGCATGAAGCATAATTATATTTTAAAGTTCTTTGAATAACTCATGTCTGCAACATTTATATACAAAACTAATTATTTTTGTTTTGATTTACACTTGGAATTAACTAAATAATATTAGATCTACTCTTTTGAAAAACACTAAGGACACAAACACATCAAGTCGTTTCACAGCTTTCTTAGCTTTACTCAAATGCTCTTTGACCTTTTCCTTTCTGTACTCCCTTGTGTTAAAGTTTCTTAGGCCCAAATGTAAAGAATACTTTTTTTAAAAAAAGCAATCAATTTATTTTATAGTTTCTCTGCATGTTCTGTGTTGTAACAAAAGCCAATATAATTTCTCTCTTTCTTACATGAGAGAGAACAGGTCAACTCTCTTTGACACTGCTGCTGAGACATAAAGGAGTCAACCTCCTCGGTATCTCAACCCAAAGAATTGGGAGGGGTATCTCAACCCAAAGAATCAGTTATGATTCAAGGTCTTTTTCTACTTTCAGACATCCCTATTAGGAAGTTCCTCTTCATATGCTAAGTCAGGATGTCCTCCCTTTAACTTTCCCAGAATTCATACACCCTCTAAAGTGACACAGAACAAATCTAATCCCTATTCCAAATGAAAACCCTCCAAAATACTGAGGGCATAAATAATGCCCTAGGACTTTTTTTCTTCAGGTTAAGTATTCCCATATTCTTTATTTTTTTTATTTTTTTTTTTTGAGACGGAGTCTCGCTCTGTCGCCCAGGCTGGAGTGC